AAAATAAAATAGATTTTTAAATTGTGACAACATATTCATGTTAAGCTGAAATTTTAGCTGGAATTGTTCCTAATTCAACAGTAGCTTAATTTACATTGAGTTCATTTTACTTCCACGTGAATCAAAGTGCCTTTTCCATTGTGTATGTGAGGGCAGTGAAGAAAGTGTTAAAAGATGTATAGAAACAGTTACTCTTATATATTTGCAGTAAAAGAGTAGCTTTGTGCAAGACATGTTTACCCTGATAATTTGTTGTACATGTTGTAGAACCATCCCCGTCAGGCAGAGTATTTGCCTTGGAGGTACTGCTGATTAGCCAATAGATATCAACATGTCTCCAGACTAGCTGGCTGAATGCATGAGAAACATTAATTCAAAAATTTCAGTAATTGTGTATTTAAGGTGTCTATAGTGTACACTAAAAAAACCCCAAACTGTCTTGTTTACAGGTAGCTTGGAATGATATTTATTTGATCTTTGTGGGACTAATAAAATATAATAAGCATAAATCTTCATTTTTATATGACCTGGAAGGATAAAGCAACTGGCATTTCACGTGCTGGTTTTGAGTTTTGTTTAATTAAAATGGTGTTACTTCCTTTACCAGTGTCTGTTTCAGAATTTTATAATTTACTCATGCTTTGCTTCTTTTCCAGAATCTTCCTAGCCTTCTCAAAGATGATCGTTTTAAGGTCATGTTTGAGAATCCAGATTTCCAGGTGGATGAGCAGAGTGAAGAATTTAGGCTACTTAACCCACTTGTTTCTAAAATAAGTGAGAAAAGAAAAAGGAAACTGAAGATGTTAGAGGAACTGGAAGCACAAGAACAGGTAAAATATTTTTCTATTTGGAAATTTGCATTTCCATTTTTTCTTTGCTTCAAGCGTTCAGATTCTTCATCCTGCAAATAAGGAAAGATGGAGGCAATGCAAGAACGGCTGATCAGCTACAGAAATTAAGTGTAATTTATAACGTTGTTCTCTTTTTTTAGGTGTGAACAATATTGTGTGTACGTGACTGTAGGTTTGAAAAATATAAAACATGTCAGTGGAAACGATTTTATATCTTCTACTTCATGTGCTGTTCACTGCATTTGTTCAAATTTTGTTTTTCAGGTGTATCTATGTAAAGGTTGTCACGTACTCTAATTGCAGGAAAGGTTTGAAAGAAAATCAGTTGATGGTTTCTTATTTTATGCTATTTTTGCCTGCAGGAAGAGGAGGAAGAACCAGAAGGAAAAGCAAGTGATGCAGAAAGTTCTGAGAGTTCAGATGATGAAAAAGGCTGGGTTGAAGAGGTCAGGAAACAGCGCAAGCTTCTACGCCAAGAGGAAAAAGTAAAGCGGCAGGAAAAGTTCAAGGAGGATCAGCAAACATTACTGAAACCTCAATTTTTTGAGATTAAAGAAGGAGAGGAATTCGTAAGCTTCAAAGACTCCGCCAAAAAACAAAAATTAATGAAGTAAGGCTAACATTCCTATTTTAATAGCTGGGGGTGTACTATACTCAAGCATTTCTTTACCATGCAGGCCAGTGGCATTTTGCCTTGGAAGCACGTACTGGTAAAGCTGCTTCTGGCGATTCAGGGTTGCAGCTTAAAGCAACATAGTAGTTGAAAGCTTTGTTTTGAAGTTAAAGAGATAAAATGTTTAAAGTATAACAGAGGGACAACACAAATGAAATGAGTAAGAGATGAATATTCAGAGACAGACTTGGGGATCCATTATTCGGTGTTGGTGAACTGCTCGTCTCACAAAAAACAATGATGTCTGTGGGACTGGTTATATTTCTCCACCAGTGTCAGTATGAAGTTGATAGTCTGGATGTTTTTCATCTGATCCTCTAAAACGATGTAGAACACTGCATGACTAATCAACTATGCTGTCAGGTCTTAATATTTCTGGTTTTCTTTTTGCAATACAAAAAAAAAAAAAACAGAGCCAGTTTTTTTCTTGAGTGTTTTTGGGTTTTAAATTTGGATTTCCTTAAATTGGTGATCAACTGAAGTAATCGAGTATCATATAAAGAGCACATCAAACTAAAGGGCTTGGCTTTGAGGTGCTTAATGCCTGCAAATCTCATTGATACTCTGTTCTCAGAGGTGAACTGAGCCCTTCAGAAGATGAGATTTAATAGCCTTTTATTAGCACAGACACTAATATTAAAACCTTGAAAGACAATAGCTTCAAAATTCTTGCACCACACTGGATGCAGAGCAGAATTTTGACTAATGTTGGAAACAAGTTGCTGGGCTAGATGGATCTCGTAATAACCATTATATTTTTACTTAGAATGAAATGATACATTCAGAGAAGAGGAAGTGAATAACAGATATAATTGGGCTGTTTCTTTGTGTCACGAATGACTGACCCTACAAGCTAGTTGTTTCATCCATTTCAAAGTTGTTGGAAATTTTCTGGAGATATGTGAAGAAAGACTTGATAAAAGTTCACCCTTCTCTTAGATGTGCAAGTTTTTGACTGGAATTAACATATAAAATGGCTTTTAAGTATTACTGAGACAGTGTTTCTGCAGTAGTCCAGTAGTCTATGATTTCCATGTGATACCTGTAAGACCTCTTTAAATAGAAGAGTAGTTTTTATAAATAATTAGAGCAGTTATGCAAAACTGATTCCCATATTTTCCTTAACTGTTTTTTATCAGCAAGTGTTTTCACAGAGGGGTTTTTCTTCTTTATATTGAATATACCCTCTCAATCTGGACTCTTTTTTCAAGTTCACCATCATCTTTCTTCCTATTTTTTTCTTGCAGAAGATGAAACGGCTTTTTACTTTTGTCAGTTTTACTACTTTCTCAGGTGAAAATCCACTCTGGACTCCCTGACAGTATTATAGGTTGAGGATGTTTTTTACACTGTTCTTAGATATATAGTTATGTTAGCAAGTGACTTGAGAGGAGCCTGAGACACTAGTCCAATGCCACCGTGTTCTCATTGCCACTGAAATACTTCCCTAAAAGGCAGTATGGCTGCAGCCTACCCACATATTCTTCTTTTACACAAATTTGGCTGTCGTCCTCTAAAGGAAATTCCCAAGGACACTCAGTTTGAAACATTAAGATTTCATTTTGCTCAAAACATAGAAGGATTAAATGTGAACAAGTGTACTGAAAGTAAATAAGCCAAGCCAGTAAAATATGACATAGGACAAAGTAAATTCTTTCATCTGGTGTATAGAGGGAGAAAAATCATTGCTTCAGCTCAGGAAACACGAAAGCAAATACCATAGACCTGTCTGGTGGTTGGAGGACTATCAGTGGTGACATAACGTGGACAGACTTCTAGAAGACTGCTTTCAGGGGAAAAGGGGATTTGTTTTAAAGTTGGCTGCTAATTCTCTGCAGATATTTTGCAGGGTGTGATGCATAGTTAGGGTGGTTTAGGTTAGGTACCCTCTGTGCGGTAGGCACACAGATGGAATGGAAAGTAAATGTTAAAAAAAGGAGAGAAGATTATGGGTAGAATAGGATGACAAAAAAATGGATGTGACAGCGTTACATGCTTTATCTTTTTCTGAGTTGCTGTCATTGAATCGTCTTTCCATGATTATTTTTTGTCAGAGCATTTAGGGCTGTACTCACTGATCCCATTTGTGTTCATCCAAGCGTTGTTCTTAGGAAGTAGTCTGATATGCCTAAAATTCTTAGAAATAATTTAAAAATCAACAGCTGGTATCTATTTCTTACAACGTGTAGCTGATACCATTCTGTGATCATAAGACTTAGTCTTGTGTTATGAGCTACCTTGTTTGGTTAAGGAACATTTTTACATATTAGGGTTTTAGAAGAAAATGCTTAAATATGTTTTCTGCTGGCCTTATTCAGTGATAAGTAGTCAGCATAAAAATAATTCAAGTCATGTACTGAAAATTGGAAAGACTGTAGTGACATGTACAATCTGGTGAGGCTGGCATGTTTGTCTTTGATTTGATTTATCCAAGTTATGGAATGATGGTCTGTGACCAATATAATTAAGTACCTTAATACCTTCACTACGCATTTAATGGCTAAGTGTTCTTTTTTTCTCTAATCATATAATGTTCTACCTGAGGAAACAGTTTATGACTTACATAAAACTGGGTGTTTCTTTTGACATGTTCCTGACTCAGCACGGCTCCAAGCCCAGCTTCTAAAGCAGTGGTGCGTACTATAAATTTCTTCATAGGCCAACAGTCTACACATTTCTTTACGCAGAAAAACTGCTAAATTTATTCATAGTTGTAAAAAACACCTTCTCAAATCCATCTATCTTTTATTTTCCACTTTTGCAGTCTTATGCTTACACATGAAAACCTGCAAAACTTTTGCTTTGCTTACTTACTGCATAAGTTCATTACATAGTTACTTAAAAGGAGAGCGTTTTTAGCAGTGTGCTAAGAGCTCTTTTTTGATTTCCTTGATGGTGAAAGGCTTGTTACTGACTTGACATTATTTTCATTTCACAGTATTTTGACATTAGAGCATGTCAAAATTAAAAACTAGAGTAGTCATACTTCATAAAGTATGATAGACAATATGTTATGTCTTCAGAGGTTGCCAAGAAAGCCAACAAAAACATAGTTGACATTCCTAGGTGTTGATAAAGTAAAACAGCAAGAAAAGTCCTGAAAAAGTGTGTTCTTTATAATGAGGTAAAAAGAAGTGCCTGGGCAATTTTTTTGTTTGTTTGTTTTTACCACAGTGGAAGTTGCTTTTAATAACACTGTTAATGTATCTCTTAAATTAATTTGTTGAGGATTATTTAAAAAAAAAGTTTTTGTTGTTAACCACAACTGTTGTGTGTTTATCAGTGTGTCCAATTCAGTATCAGTTGAGGTCTACTCATTTTCAGATACATAGAGCCATACCTGCAATTGTTCAGTTCAATTGCAACCCCCACAGCATTTTACTAACATCTCCTCATTTTAATTTTTCTCCTGACTGAAGCGGTATCTAGGCAGTCATGCTAAATAATTGCTGGGTGGTAGCCATATTTCTCCAGTTCACTTTCAAAGGGGAGAAAAATGGGACTTCACTTGAATGTGGAAATCCCACCACAAAGTCAGTGACTGATCTTCTGCCATAGTTAGCTCTGAGGCTTAGCTTGTCTTCCCGATTCACACAGATGGAACAAGTTTTTACATGTACTCAATGAAAAATATACTACAGAAAGAAAATACAATCAAAGTACCTAGTCATGAGAAATAAAGTAATTCATGACAGTAATTTTTCATTGTTAATCTGAAAAGCCTTTGTTACATAAAATGGCTCATTAACCAAAATTCAGCAGACTTCAGAGACTTCATGCGTGCGCCACAATCCATGGGCCCTTCATCCATACTAAATGCCATTGACTTTGGTGGCTGCTAATAGTCTGTATTTTTATGATGACTTATTTTCCACTTTAGAACTTGTACAAAAGGGTCTGTTAGCACTCTTCAGAGAAATCAAATAGGGCACTAATAGCTGCATCTGAAATTGCAGAGAGTAATTTTGTTTACAGTTAGATATTTTCTAAGCATGCCATGTCATATTGTCAGGTGACAGTACCTACTTGTGGGACTCGCATTATAGAGGACAGACAAGCCATGTTTGGAGTCATGGATGCCTTTATGGAGGCTGGCTGAAGGCAGCACCACTCCTGCTTGCCTGCCTCACTGTTGTGCTGGAGGCTGTATGGGAACAAGGTGTATTTGTGCTCCTCATCTGTTGCAGTTTTTGGGGACTTTAGTATGGTTCCTTCAAATGATTTGAACGTGTCTTTTCTGTTTACTGAATGTGTATTTTTTAGAGTTACGGCATTTCAGAGAAATGGAGTTTAGTTTTGACTGCATTATCAGCCTTTATTATAGTTAAAAAAATGGCAAGAATTTGGGCTAATGTTAATTATTCTCTGCAGGAAAACTCTTGAAGATCGTTTAAAGCTTGAAGAAAAACTTGGCACACTCAACGTGTCTGATACCACAGTAGGCAGCAAACAGGCAACATTCAGATTAAAGAAGGTGAGATGTGTATTATCTTAAAAAAATTATATATATATATAAGTAACTTTAGTTTTTGCATGAAAGAACAAGAACTTTAAAACCGTCAAACAAATGTCCCTCTTCATTTCTTTATAAGCTGCCAACTCTTCTGCTTCTTGCCAAGAGAATGAAAGCCTCCGGTAGTACACTGTATGTTTATACCCCTTATAACTCAGGCAGCACTCATAAAATCTTATGTTCTGGTGGAAAATACTGGCTTCCATCCTTTTCATAGTTTATTTGCAGACATACCGTCAGAAGCTTGTGACCTTACCTGACTTCTGTGCTAGGACTCATCAGACCTTGCTCTGCAGGTCCAAATGCAGTCAGAGTGCTGTAGGTGACAGGCTTCCTCTTGGTTGATAGTGTTCCAGTGACACAACCAGAGCTCCTGACCACCTTTGTCATTGAACTGGTGTAGCACAGATCACGAGAATGAGCTCTGGTCCTCTCTACTTCCCAAATTCATTTTTAAGTTTGTGGTTGACTGCTACCTATCTAGCTTTCTCTAAGGGTTTTGATTTCCCATCCTAGGAATTTTATAGATCACAGACAGGCGATGGCTTTATAGTGTGGACAGAGTTAAATGCATGTGTGCATCTGCTACTGCTGTAAAACACTTAGGGATTTTTTGCTAGAAAAGTGCTTTAGAACTGAGGAAAGGGCACCTTATAAATAAAGCTGAAGACCCGTATTATTTGCTACTTGAGCTGGCAAAATATAGTTCTGTTAAAACTAGTTTTCCTCGGGGAAACCTCTTTGCCATAATACTTTTATCCTTACCCGTGGTCAAACAGTATTCTCACCAGAAAATCTTCTGTCACAAGCCATTCTTGTAGTTACTTGATTGTCACATCAGTTATGCCTGCAAAATTTTTTTTAAATCTTTTTACCTGATTGCCTCTTTGCGTATGTCCTTTTTCATCTGATTTTGATTCTGGTATTGCTGAAATTTAAAATGTGATGACTGTGGAATAAGTGGGATTCCCCTGCAGTGCTGTGTAGGGTAACCGTTCTGGGGACTTTATGAACTGGTGTAACTGATAGCTTAGTGTCTTGTTGCCAGTTAAATGGGCTTTGCAGGGCTTCAAAACCACATTTTTTTTTTTGATAATAGCTTTAAATTAGAAAACACACAAGCCACAGGGTTTCTTGCAATTGGTGGCTACCAATGCACTGTCACCTTTTGCTAACAGTTTTATGAAGCTTTGGGTGTAAGGTGGAAGAACACAGATATGGCACTGGTTCGGAATGCCATTTTTACTTGAGTCCATCAGATATGCTATAGCTTTGAGGGTTTTTTTTAATTGTTGCTGATAAAATATGGATTTTTTTTTTCTTATAATTGATGTTGCTTTATTGAAATACATATATTGTGCTTATTTGCATTTTAAAAGCTTTTAAAAGTCTAAGAGAAAAATAATGCATCTACAGCAGGGATCTTTTCTCCTGACAACAGAATAGCAAAATAAGTCCACAGATATTCTCTCAAATAAACAGACCCTGTACATATATTCTGAAGTCCCAGGGAATGGAGCAAGGATTGCTAGGAAGAAGTCATGCTATGCAGTATGCTGTGTCTTGACACTCCTTTTCAGGGGATGCAGAGATGAGGTTGGCAAGCTAGAAGGGATTTTAGTGTTCAGTTTCTGCTTTGTGATGGCATTTCCTTGAAGTGCAAGTGCATTTAGGAGTGAGTAAGAAGATTTAGTGGGAGAGAGAGTTGTGTTGCTATAGGATTGGTATCACTCCACCTTCTAAGTCAGTGGAATTGGGACTGAACTTGGCTGCTGCAGCTGTGTATGTCAGCGCCCTCCCAAGTGCCCAGCAACCACTGACAGGTCCAGCAATTAAATTGTTTCTCTTCAATATTTCACAGTTTAGTTTTCGGGGATTTTAGTATGATGTGGCATCCAGTTTTTCATTGTCAATATGCTTTATGGTAGCAAAGAGAGATAAAAAGTAGCAGGGTTTCTAAAATACCCTTTAGAGTATAGAGGAGGATTTAAAAAAAATTAAATAAATTCAGTTTCAGTATGTTAGCAGTAGCAGTCAACATTATCTTAAGCAAGATTTCTTGAGACTGTTTCAGATGATGTCTAGAGACAGAAGGAAACTGCTAATATTTTCACATAGTGAGTTTCTTGTTTCCTTGCTTGTGGTGGAAACAGGAGTCAATAAATTTCAACAATATCTAAAGACCATTAGATTTTATTGCCATGATACTAGTACGGGCTTATTGCTACACTTGGTAAGTTGGTTCATATCTCACCTCAGCCAAAATTTTGTCTCTGCATACAAATCTCTAGCTCGAGTTTAAATGATACTTTAATGGGAGATTCAGGAAAAGATGAGGTGATGCATTAATGCTGCTGATTACAGAAGTAACTGCAGTGGAGATACAGATGCATATCCAGTAGTTGTCACACTGTTAGTGCATTTATCCTCCGCTGCCATTCTGATTGCTGGAGTATTTTACAGCATAGTTGCCTGAGCTTGGCTAGTTCAAGTCTGCTAGTGCCAGTGTGTGTTAATATTTTATCAGTGTGTATAAATGAAACCCTTTCCATGTGTTTTTAATGAAGAGAAAAAACATCAATCGAACGTGTGAATCTGAATCGAACGTGTGCCACAGGAGCAGAGATTTTAAATCCTTTTCATGTGGAAAGTCTTTCTAGAATTGCATGCAGCATATCAAACACTTTCAAGAACTTCTAAAAACACTTTTTAGAAAACCTGTGTATTTTAGCAAATTTTAACTAATTGTTCTGTCTCTTTAAAATTTATTTGTGCAAATATTAAATGTGGCAATACTAGTTAGCCAAAGTAGATACTAAATAGCCTCAAATGGTGGTTTATCTCTTAAGGGCATTAAAGCAACTTTTGAAGTGCTGTTCTACAGTCTATTGTTAGATGTTGGTTTTCATCTGAAAAATATGATTTTATAGTAGCCCAGTGATAGGCAGGATGAGGAACAACGGACACAAACTAGAACACAGGAAGTTCCACCAAAACATAAGGAAAAACCTCTACTGTGGGGGTGACAGAGCCCTGGATCAGGCTGCCCAGAGGGGTTGTGGGGTCTCCTTCTCTGGAGACTTTCAGAACCTGCCTGGACACGTTCTGTGCAGCCTGCTCTAGGTGAACCTACTTCGTTGAGGGGGTTGAGCTAGATGATCTCCAGAGGTCCCATCCAGCCCCTACCAATCTGTGTTTCACTGTTTTTCAGTATCTTTGTCTTAAATGTTTGCTCTGAATTACTTGGAATGGTAATGCCTCGGGATATCCAGAATCAACAGGTACGGTATAAGACAAGATGGGACCATTTACAGTAGCATTTCCAGATTTCCCTGATGGAATTCTGACCCGATATACAAATACTTGAACAAGGATGTGATATGTAAGTTTCCAAGAACCTGAGTCTATTTTTGTTTTAATATTCCAGTCAGAGCAGCAGAAGAAACAGCAGGAAGCTGAGAAACAGCATCGTCAAGAGAGGAGGACTCTTAGGCGTTCTGCTAGTCATCTCAGGAGCAAACGTGGAAGAGGGCGACTCTTTCGTTAATTTATGTTATTTTTTTTTTTTTAAGAAACTTAACTATTTTACATTTGAAAACGGACTTTTTCAAATTGGGACATGGTACCAGTGAATTTGTACTTTGATTCATTGCTGAACAAGAAAAACAGAACTTGCTAAACCTTTTTAATTACTGTATTTCTGCAGAAATCATCAGCAACTGGTTATTGTGTAACCCTGGATGTTTTCTATATAAGAATTTATGTATACAACAAGGCTGCCTGTCTCTTACTTAATTTAAGAGTTGTTTTTAACTTTCTGAAATCATTCTTTGTGACTGCTTATGGAGAAGATCAAGGGTAAGTTATTTTGTCTGAAAACTTATCTTTACAAGGGCACAGCAGATTTTTCTTTTGTTCTTCTTGAAGGATGGTACACAATTCTGTTTTCTTCAAAATCTGACTTTAGCTTTATATTCTTGAATTGCCTTACTAGCCAGAAGGAGATACAAATGGTCATTATGAAGGCAACTGAGAATGTCTGATTTAGGTTCCTCTAAGTCACTTTCTAAGGAAATAATCTCTTCCCACACCTTTGTAGAAGGGGAATCTTGGAACAAATTTCGTAAATACTGCCTTTACTCAGAATCCTCAGGACAAGTTTTAATATTGGGAAGCCAGCTGTGGTTCAGTATAGATCAAGTGATCTATGTTCACAGTAACAAGCACGTTAAGGCCATGCCAGTATCCTTCTGTTCTTCAGAAAGTTAGCTGAAGAAACCAGAACATACATTAAGGAAATTGATTATTTTTTGTCTTCTTTTTGATTCCCCAAAAAAAAAAAAATGCTTGTTGCTAACCAGGATACAGCATCTCATCTGGATTTTTATCATGCAAACCCATTATTTACATAAGTAGTTCACTACCTAAGCAAAGAAACTAATTTTTACTTTTGATCCTAAAGGAGCTTTGTTTGTTGGTTTTTAAAAGGCTTTATAAACTGCTTTTTTGCCGAATCAAAGAAACTGAACTTTGGATCCAACAAGAAACAGTCTCCCCATCACTGTAAATCTTTTTAGGAGACTTAGAAGTTCTTAACCTGTCTGGTTTATAAAACAAAACACTCAATAATCTGGTCAGGTGTGCTAGACAATACTTGCTGTCAAACTTTTGCACTTTTTTTTTTTAGTCAAAAACCTTATTTCCTCATAGCCTGGTGCTTTTTTATTTTCCTTGCTTGGATGATAGAATGCTCAGTCACATGGTGAAATTTATTTTCTTCTCTCTGATTTAATGGTACCTGCTTTGATTCCTTACTTCTCTTTTCAATTATATTGGCTCCTTTAATTTAAAAGTGGCTTTTACACCTGGTATTTTCATCTTTAAAACACTCTTTGTAATAATCATCTCTCTGTCCTTGCATTCATCTGCCAGATGAGTCTCAATACCTGTTCTTTACCTCTAGCTGTCAAAATTCTGTGTTGTCCATAAGCTCCTCATGCTTTCAGTTTAACACAGAGCTATCTAATATTCCTCTGTCAGTCTCACCCATCCTGTATATCAAGAATTACTGTTATTACTTCTCTTTAGCCACTGAGAAAATACAATGCAGTCATGGTTGCTGCAGGATATGTCTCTGGAGTCTTGTCTTTTGATAACATTCAAGCCTTTGAAATCCAAGTGGAATGACAAGTTAAAATTTGTATTAGTGCCACATCTTTCCCCTGGAATGTCATGTTATCTCTTAGAAAACATCTCCATGCAGTTCAGGTTTGTTCACTTCATAGATATGGCTATTCTGAACATGGAAAGGTTAATAATGGAAACATGCCACCATTATGGTTGGTACAGTGAGAACTGGGAATTAGGTGTACAGAACTGGCACTGTAAGAACAGGAATTCATAGGAGCTTGCTCCTTCTTGTGGTAGGCCTGAATCCCATTATATTTAAGAGCTAGAGGTGCATTTATAGTTTAAGGCATCCTTATTTCAGCAGTGATTTTGTTGGCTGTCAAGAGCAGTAAACAAATAGGTGGTTCATCTGTTGTTGACTTCTTTGCCTCTGTTTTCACCAGCAAGGTCTCTAGGCACACAGCCCAAGTTGTGGAAGGCAAAGGCAGGGACTGAGAGAAGGAAGATCTGCCCACTCTAAGTGAAGATCAGGTTTGAGACTATCTAAAGAACCTGAAGGTGTACAGGTCCTTGAGACCTGATGAGATCCATCTGCAAGTCCTGAGGAAACGGGCAGATGAAGTTGCTGAGCCACTTTCTATTGTATTTGAAAAGCCATGTCAGTCTGGTGAAGTTCCCACTGACTGAAAAAGGGGAAACACAACTTCCATTTTCAGAAAGGGGAAAAAAAAGGAAGTCCCAGGCATCTACAGGCCAGTCAGTCTCACTTCTGTGCCTGGCAAGATCATGGAGCAGATCCTCCTGAAGGCTTTGCTGAGGCACATGGAAAATGAGGAGGTGATTGGTGGCAACTAACTTCACAAAAGGTAAATCATGCCTGACAAATTTAGTGGCCTTTTATAATACTTACAGCATTGGTGGATAACAGAACAACCAATGTCATCTACCTGGACTTGTGCAAAGTGTTGAATGCTGTCCTGCATCACACCCTGGTCTCTGAATTGGAGAGAAGGATTTGATGGCTGGACCACTCAGTGGATAGGGGATTGTCTGGATGGCTGCACTCAAAGAGTTGCAGTCAATGACCCAGTGTCCCAGTGGAGACCAGTGATGAGTG